ATCGAGTGCTTAGTAGGCAGGTGCTCCAAGAGGTTATATTATTTAATTCTCACTACTGTCTCTCAAGGGAAATAAAAATAGTTTACAGATGAGGAAACTATGGTGCAAAGAGGTTAAGGGACTTGACTATGATCCTTTTACCACCGTACATTTCCTGCAAGGGCTGATGACTTAAAAATGTCTGAATGTAATAATTTCATAGCAGATTGGAAATCTTATTCACTTAAAAATCCTTTTTTGGGGAAAAATATGTAAGATTCTAAATTTTTCTCAACTCTGGTAATACTGGAAGTGTTTGAATTAACTAATAACAACATTTGAATTGGAAAATCCTTAACAATTTATCTATTGCTAAAAGAGAATTACAGGGGTTAATTTTAATGAGAAAAAGGACACAGAAAGGTCTTTTCCTTAATCAGTTAATACCTTAGTAATGGTTTTAAATTGTTAAACCACCAAACAGGTATTTCATTTTCTCTCTTGACCCAATTCTGAAAATATGGTCAGAACTTGATAATCTCCTATAATTAAATGAAAGCATGTTTTTGTTAGTTTTGACTTAAAGTATTATAAGTCCAAAATCCTTCATATATGAACAGCATTCTACTTTAACAAAGACATTTTAATTAATAATAATGAAATTTATTAATAATAAATTTAGTTTCTGGGATAGGATTAAGTGCGCAGAGGAAACCAGAATATTATTTATTTTTAAACATGGAAACTATATATGGGTAGATACATATGTATATATGTCAAGGAATCCTCATATCATTTTTTTGCCAGATGTTGCTGATAATTTTAAGTCTATACAATATATGAGTTGGGTATAGAGCAGGGTTGGGCAAACTTTTTGACTCAAGGGCCACAATGGGTTCTTAAACTGGACCAGAGGGCCGGAACAAAAGCATGGATGGAGTGTTTGTGTGAACTAATATAAATTCAAAGTAAACATCATTACATAAAAGGGTATGGTCTTTTCGTTTTTTAGTTTTATTCATTTCAAACGGGCCGTAGTTTGGCCAAGGCTGGTATAGAGGAACACAAAAATACTAAATATATGTGTTGAGATAAACCTGGAGAAAAACAGAAAACAACCACGTAAGAAATTAAAATGAGGTCCAGGCGAGATTCTGTGGGATCTTCAAGCTTGCCAACTCAATGGAAAGGTGTTTTCTGACACTGTGTATCTGCAATAAGACTTTCTGTAGCAAACTGTCTACCAGAAACATCCTGGGAGCCACATATAAAATTCCGCATTTTCTAGTAGCTACATTTTAAAATATATTTTTACTGATTTCAGAGAGGAAGGGAGAGGGAGAGAGATAGAAATATCAATGATGAAAGAGAATCATTGACTGGCTGCCACCTGCATGCCCCCCCCCCCCGGGCGCCCCGCCCCCCCGCCCCGAAAACTGGGGATTGAGAGAGCCCTGACTGGGAATAGAATCATGATCTCCTGTTTCATAGGTCAATGCTCAACCACTGAGCAACACCGGCCGGTCAGGCTAGTAGCTACATTTTTAAAAAGAAATACGTGAAATTGATTTTAACAATGTATTTTATTTAATCAAACATATATCCAAATATTATTTCAACATGTAGTCAACATAAAATTTTTTTTGTTTTTTTAAAAATATATTTTATTGATTTTTACAGAGAGGAAGGGAGAGGGATAGAGAGTTAGAAACATGGATCAGCTGCCTCTGGTGTGCCCGAAATCAAGGTAATTGCCCTTGACTGGAATCAAACCTGGGACCTTTCAGTCCGCAGGCCAGACACTCTGTCCACTGAGCCAAACCGGTTAAGGCAATGTAAAAATTGTTAATGCAATGTTTTATATTTTTCCATATTCAATCTAGTGTTACTTTAACTTTATTTTAAGTACTCCATAGCCATATGGGTTAGTGGCTACTGCACTGGAAACAGTTCAAATCTTGCTGAATTGTGTAGAATTCTTAGGAATTTATTTAGGATCTGGGTATTGATGTAATTAGGCAGACAATTTAACAGCAATATGGAGTTCGATAAGTTTGATTGTCTTGTGGGTTTCTAAAATCCTAAGCCTCTCTTGCCTGTATACTAACTTATGCCACTGATAAAAGCTACTGATACTTAAGAGCTTGTGAAATATTATAAGCATACTAGAGGCCCAGTGCACGAATTTGTGCATGGGTGGGGTCCCTCGGGGTGGCCTGTGGGGATTGAGCCACAGCTTGTGCCCCTAGACTCATAGCCCCAGGTCATGCCCCCAGCCTCGAAGACCTGCAGCCCTGCCTGGCACCCTGCCTTGGCCTGGCACCGCCCCCTCACCTGCTCCACCATCCTGCCTATGGGGCGATTGGTCAGGGCTGGGCCCCCTGCCTGGCTCCTTCAGTGCCTGGGAGCCGGCCACTGCTGGTCACCATCTTTGGAGCTATCGGCTGGGTGATCAGGCCCCCGTTGGCCCCCGTTTGCACCCGCCTTGCCTGGTGCTGCCCACTCACCTGTTCCACCATTCCGCTGCAGTCCCGCTCTCAGAGCCCATCGGGGTCGGCAGCGCCTCCACTGCTGCCTGCTGCCAACGCCACGTCGACAACGCCTGCCATGTTCCGTGCCACCCCCTGGTGGTCAGCGCACGTCATAGTGAGTGGTCAAACTCCTGGTCAAACAACCGCCTGAGGGGACAATTTGCATATTAGGCTTTTATTATATAGGATATCACATAATTTGGAAGGACATCTTCTGTGTCGTTCCCCTTTCTTGATTGTAAATTTGATAGTGTGTGCTATGAAAGTGTCAGAAAAGCTAAGGCAAACTTGGATTTTGAATAAAGATAAATCCAGAAAGAGAAGTTTGAGGATCCTGTCTTATATTTATTACTCTTAAAAAAAAGTGTGTGTGTGTGTAAGGGACATGGGACTGATTTAACAGAAGAGGGAAAGAAGAGACAAGTCCTCCTATCCTTCCTGTCTCTTGTTTAATTATACTGTTTTAGGAACAACACTACAAACTTGTGCAAATCTAATTAATGGCAACCAGGGGATTTGTGAAAAAGCTTGAAATCACATCCTGTAAGCTACAGTTGAAAGCACTAGGAATATGGCTTTTGGGCTTTTGGAGATGAGAAGCTGTGGCTGGGGTAGTGAGAGGGATAAGCAGAGGAGAGGAAAAGGGACAGGATAATTAGCTGTACTGGCAAATAATTAAAGGGATGTCACATAGAGGAAGAAAAAACAAACAAAAAAACCATTCATGAAAGAGAGGGCAAACTGAATACAAAGAGTGGTTTCTAAAACTGCAAAATGGGGAAAAAAATGTCTGGGGAGGCAGGGAATTTTCTACTACAGGAGATGGGCAGGAAGGGGCAATTCATGTTGCCTAAGGCTTCTCCCAACTCCTATAGTCAATTTTACTTGTGCCCGATATTGAACAGAGAGGCAGAGTGGAGGTTTAATAGTTCACCGGCCTTGATGTTACAAGTCCTGTGACAAAATCTCTTCTCAACCTCTAGGACTTGGGTCGATTTGGGCAAGTCTCTTGGACTCTCTGGGTCTGCTGATTCTATAACATAGAAATAACACACCTCACACCTACTTCTGGAATTATTGGAACGCTTTGCAACCTGTAAGATAAACACCGGTGTCTGTTTCCATGGAATAAGCCGAGAAGACCTCTTAATTCAGCCCTCCTGTTTTTTTTTTTTCTTCTCCCTTCCTACTCTATTTCTGGTTTTGTCTTCCCACACCCAGCTATTCCTGGTACCACTCCTTAGATGCACCTTATCTTAGGGCTGCAGTACAGGGAAGTCTAATGTAAATGCAGTGTTTTACTACCCCAAGGCAAGGCAAGGTCAATAAAGTCAAGAAGCAAAGTCTGTAAGAACTACTGTCTACACTTTTCATCCCGCAGTCGCCATCTCTGAAATACGAGCCAACCACTGAAAGGGATTCCAAAGAAACCACAACTTCGGGATTGCTCTGCAGAGTATTAAACCACTATCAGAGACCTTTAACCCCCCTAAACTAATGTATCCGTACAAGCCGTTCTAGACGATCATAGTTTGAAGTCTGCAGCAGAATCACCAATTTTTGAACTATCCTCTTTAGAGTTCACCTGATAGTGGGGGCTGAACTTCCTTAATTAAACCTTTACCGACAGGTTAACACACGATATCTTCTTTTTCTCTAACCTGACTCTCCCCCTCCCCCCGCCTCCCATATGTTCAGGGAGATGGTATCAAGGGCACAGACTCTGGAGTCAGATTGCTTGGTTTCAAACACCAAGTCCCACTACTGTGGTGAGGGACACCATTTTACCTGCAAAAAACGAGGATAACTCCGCTATGACAGAGTTGAAGATTAAGTAAGCTCTCGACACGTGACCAGCACGCAATAAATGGAGCTATCGGTGTATCTTTCTGGCCAGTAAAAGGCCGAAGGCATCTCCCAAGCTTTGGTTTTGGCGACTGTCCAGGTCAACTGACATTTAAATTCTGCTCTACAGCTGTCCCGGGAGTCTCAACAGCAAGTGAACCTGCCGGCTCGCAATCCGGCCAGACAGGTTGGTAGTCGGCTGAGGCTTCGGACTGCCTCCGGGAAACTCCGAGGCATTTGAAGTCAAGGTCTCGGCCGGAGAAATGCTTGAAAACAGGGCGTCAAAGAACTAAAGAGTGCAGCACCCTGTGCTGGGGCAGCCACAGCCCCTCAGCCACATGCAGAGGGGCGTGGCCCTCCTTCCGCGCGTGCGTGCCCAGGGGCGTGTCCTTCCCAGCACGCGCCGAGGGGCGGGGCCCTTCTCTCGCTGCGTGGACTCCGGACACCACATCCGGGCTTGCCCTACTGCGCATGTGTGCCTGCGGGCGGGGTGGGGGGCGGGCCGGCAGAACCAGAAATTTCGGGGAAAGGGGACGCCTGGGACCAGGAGGGCGGGGAAATGCACGAGAAGGGGCGGGGCAGAAGGCGGAAAAGTTGGAATCAGCTGACCGGGTCCCGTGATAGCCGGGGCGGGGGCGACGCAGGCGCATTAGAGCGCGGTCGCTCCCAGCCTGAGCGAAGATGGCGGCCTCCAGATTGAGCCTCTGAGAGGCAGAGGGAGGAGGCGGAGGGGGCGGGGAGGCAGCGCCGCCTCGGCACCAGGAACCCGCGGCAGCGGAGCCACTGAGCCCCAGCGAGGGAAAGGGGAAGTGGTGGCGGGGAGGAGGCCGGAGGTCGTCTCAGCCCACTCTGGACGCGGAGCCGGCGGCGGGCGGAGCTCGGGCTGGAGCCTCTCCAGCCTCCCGCAAGGTAAACCCCTCTGGGCACCAGACTCGGGGGCTCGCATTTATTCGGGGGCCGGGGGCGCTGAGGGCCGGGAGCGGAGGGATGTGCCTCGGCCGCCGCAGCCTCCGCCTGCTAAGGAAAGCGATTACCCTCCCCCCAAGCTGCGGCCCCCCGACGCCCCCGGATCCCACGGACATCCGCCCCGGGCGCCCCCTCGGCCAGCCCTACCCCGCCTTCTGTGTTTGCTTTGTTTTCTGGTTGTCTGTCCTGCTGGGCCCCGCACTCCCCTCTGCACATCCTGAACCCCACGCATCCTTATCCCCTCGGGGCTCCGCCCTCGGGATCCCTGGCCGCCTCCTGCCCCGCCGGAGTGCTGCTCCTGACAGATGCTGGCAACTCTCGTTTCCTGGGCTCCGCGGCCCTCCTTCCCCCCACCCGTCCCGCATCTACTCTGTCTTTCTTTGTTTAGCTTTGTTTCGTTTTGTTAGGAAATGGGAGGGCACCCACTTGGTTTCTTCTCCAGTCTCCTTTTTTCCCCCCAAAAATCAAGTTTTCCCCCAGGGCTTTTCCTTTCTGCGGAGTAGCTCATTCACCCTGGCCTTTCCTTCGCTGTTGTGGTGATCTTTGCCTCTGATGCGGCCTTGGGAGCGGGTGAAGGAGCCCAGGGAAGTGGCTGTGAAACGCAGATGTGATTTAATACACTTACCGAGAGTGCCTTCAGGCTGAAATTGTCTCCTGTCATGTCTGGAGACCGTTTCCTTTATCCGTTGCTTAGGGCGGGGGTGCGGGGGGGAGAAGAAAAGTTAAATAATGTACCCCTGATGTGGCAGTGTCTCCTAACGCCGGGGTTTGCGCCCTCTGTGTTTCCCTTGGACCCTGCGCTGATTCCCCTCAAAAAGGAGGGCCCCTGCCTGGTGCTGCTGCCTCTGCGCTGCGAAGGGCTTTATGTTGAAGGGTTCTTTGGAGCCTCTTGGAGAGTAGTGTCTTCGGGGGGGGGAAAAAGTAAAGTTTCAGAATAGTTTTTTAGGACCTGCCCCAGTGACTGTCTTTCTTACTGTATTTTCTTTCTTTATGGCTCTGATAGATTTCTAGGTTTGAAAGTACTGTTCTCAGAGTTTGAGGAAATTGCTTACGGTGGTCAGGTTTTGTAGGATATTCCTAGTATCCTGTGAGTCTAGGAGAAGATGAAACAGGACTTGCCTTTTCTTTTTTTTTCTTTTTTTAAGAAATTTAGAAAACTACTTGTCAAAAGTTTGGCATCCTAAAAAGACTTCATTTCACTATTCTTTGGTTTCTGGAAAGTGCTTTCTTGCTTGATTTAACTTGTTATATAACAGAAAGCCTCATTAACACTTTAAATGTACAATGAAACAATGTGTAAGAGGCTATGTCTCAAACTTGTGTTTTGTTTTTAATATCGCAATGGAACATTGAGACCTTTTTAAGATAATGTTACATTATACTCCTAGTTTGGAAATAGGAAGTAGAACATATTAAGGGAGGGAAAGGGGAGTCAGAAGGTTATTCCAAGAAATGTAAAGAACCTTTATACTATAGTATAAAGTTAGACTAAAGTTTATAGTCTAGTTTATGGAAAGTGCCACCATTTGTATTCCACTGGGAGGCGATGGATATTCCTTTTTTTCTAAAGTGGTAGTAGTAAGTAAATAGTCCAAAAAATTTGGTGTTTTGTTTTTTACATTGTTGTGAAAAAGTTATGGAATTGTGGAAAGGATGAGTTATTTGTAAGAACTTGATGTTATCCATAAATAAGTAAAAGCTGGTTGCCTATATTGGTGACTATATTGGCTTCATTACATTTGTTAAAATGTTGATAGTGTAGTTAGGTTCTCAGTAGATACTAAATTGTGGTATAAATAAAAAGGATCTGTTTTAAGTAATTTGGCTCCATTCTTCAAGCACTTCTACTTACACAGGTGAACTTGAGGCTCCCATTGCACATAACTTTCACCTGTTTTCCTGATTGACGTACTTAAAATTAGTAAAATACAGGCATACCTTATTTTACTGCACTTCACAGGTGTTGTGTTTTTTACAAGTAGAAGGCAAGGTTCTCCAGCAAAAAGATTACTACTCACTTTAATGCATACTTACTTAATGGCCTTGGTGTGGAACCAAACCTGCGCTATCTCCGAGTTATGTCAGTAGAAGCAAGGCTATGCAAATAAACTTTAGCCAAAATTTGGTTGTTACTAACAGTTTTAGGTCTAAATGTTGACTGTAATGTTGAGAAGTAATTAAAGAGGAGTTGTTTTGAAAGATAACCTCTAAGTCAGTGCTTCTCAATTTCATCAAAACCAATAAAAACCTTTTTTATTCCAAGTAATTGTAACATCTTTTACTATCCTGAAATACTTTAGAAATAATATAACCACTGCGTTTGGCTCTGGGACAAGAGGAAGCTTTTAAAACAAAAAACTGCACTGACTTCAAATTCATGACTTGTTTTTTGAAATCTGTTAAAGAGCTGAGGCCACAGAACAAATCACTAGCCCAAGATTTAAGGACAGAAAGAGTAGACAGAATTCACATTCACTTTTAGACAAAACTGGACACTGGTAAGAGTTCATCTAGAATAGCTGACAGAGTGATGAGGGTCAGTGTACCTTCTTCCAATCTTTGTCCACAAATCTCACTAGGTACCCCTGGAAAAGATGGGGAAGGGCCCTGGGAAGTATATGTTGTGGTGCTGACATAGAGGAGAGGAACAGTGGCAAAGCTTTTAGGAGGGGCAGAAACTCTGCTTTGATTCTTCCCCTCTGTCTCTTCTATGGAACAAAATCCTTAATCTTTTGAGGGAAGGGCTTCTCTGCGTGCCCTGTTAGTGAGCATTCATTGAGTTGGGGGAAGAAAAAAAAAGGGGAAAGAATCTTCTCCTGGGGAAGGAATACTGAGCCCCAAACTGCAGCCAGGGGATCACACCTTTGAGATCCAGGTACATAGAGTATGGATAAGACTGAATGTTAATGATAGCACAACAAAGACTGTACTGCCCAATCCCCTGCCACCAAGTTAGGAAGCTTTGAATAACAGGTAACTGCAGAATACTACTAGGAGCAGAACAAGATATACAAAGAAGCACAGCACAAATAATCAAACAGACCGTGCTTTAGTAAACCAACCTCCACAGGAGCCACTAGCTATTGTGCAGGTATTTGAAGCTTCTGGTACACTGAAGATAATCATAGCAACAGCCAATCATAAACCCAGCCCAACTCCTAAACAGATTAACACCCTGCACTAAAGACCTAGCAAAGAAAAGGTGTGCCCATTTCCAGTCACAAAAATTATATGCCTTAGTCTCTGCTGTCCTATGCAACATTTCCAGCTTTCAACAAAAAAATTACAAGGCATGCAAAAGGCAAAAAATTATCCCAAGAGAAAAGGTAATTATCAGAATTATACTTTAAATAATATAGATGCTGTTATCTGATAAAGGAATTTAAAATGATTATAATTAATATATTAAAGATATGAACAGAAAAGTGGAAAACATCCAAGATCAGATGGGTAATTTCAGTTGAAAGATGGAAACTGTAAGAAACAACCAAAAGGAAATGCTAAAAGTTTCATTACACAATAGAGATGCAGAAAACCTTCAGGCTCATCAGTAGATTTGAACAACCAAGGAAAGAGTCAATGAACTTTTAGATGTCAGTAGTAGAAATTACCCAGCCAAAACACACACACACATGCACATGCAAACACACACATGTTAAAAAAACAAAATCCAAGAGCTTGGGGATAGTATCAGACATTTTAATATGTACATAATTAGAATCCCAGAGGAGAAGAAATATTGAAATATCTGAGGAAATACAGAATTTTCCAAAATTAATGTCAGGCATCAAGCCATAGGATCCAAAAAGCTTAGAGAACATGAAGCAGGATAAATACCTGGCCCCCCCAAACACAAGCAAAAGACACCTAGATATACTATATTCAAATTGATATAAACAAAGAACAAAGAAAATCTTGAAGGTAGCCAAAGTAAAGAGAAACATTATATACAGAGGAACAAAGATAAAAGTTACAGCAGAGAAACCATGCAAGCAAAGAGACGATTAAATGGTAACTTCAAAGTATTGAAAGAAAAAAAACCCCAGCAAAAATACCATTCAAAAATGAAGACAAAATATAGACACACTCAAACAAAACCAAGAGAATTCAAAGTATAATATCTTCATTCACATGATAGGTGCATTCCTGGAAAATATTATATGCATATTAAACTAAAAAACATACTTTGTGGGACAGTTCATTATAAATAGGTGTTGTTTTTTTGTTGTTGTTTTCTTTAACCTATGTGAATGACCATTTGGATATTTGAAAGTTAATTGAAGACAATCCTTCAATCTGAGATTGTCTTGTACATTGAGGGGTATCTAGCCCCATCCACTAAATACTAGTAGTGTTTCTAATAATAGTGTCTCTTATGGGGCCCCAACCATTACTTTAATTCAGAATTTTAATCATTGTTTTTCAGCCCGTTTTTCTGCATCAGCAGTGTTCACATGCTCAGCACATGCCAATCATAGTTCTTAGTCATGAAAATCATAGCAACTCCTTTGAGAATCATAGATTTAGGAGATATCTTTGTCCCTAGTAACTTAAGCCAACATAGTTGTGATAATTTTTTCTAATTTAAGACAGTTATCTATGCAAAGGTACATTTAAGTGGGGTTCATTCAGTAAGGTAAACATCTAATTTGCTAAGTTCTTTAAAGATATTCTTAACCATTGAACAGGCTACCTATTTGAGTTTTACTTGCATTTTTATGGACTACTTTTGAAAAGAGTGATCTCTAAAACAGTCTAAAATGAGTGGGATTTTGTAGTTTCAGCACTCTATAAGTTCTCCTTAGAAGTAGATCACACTGCCTAAGCAGTGTTCCCAATTCGATCTTTTGATGAACAGATTAAAAACAAAGCCCCTGAAAGAATCTAAAATAATTATTTTGATGCTCTGATTTTGTATAGTAGAGTGTGAGAACATAATTGAA